TTTTTTAACTCACTATGTTATGTATTCTTGTTTCCTTCAACCTAAACACTTCTGTTTGTACTATCCACATTCACTCACAAAGGCAATGTGTATAATATATATAACACAAGGATGATATTTGTTTAAATCTACACTCAATTGGATTAAAATTCCAGCTCTTCCATTTACTATCTATGTGACAAATTATTTATTGTCCCCAGTCCTCAGTTTTCTCAACTTCTTTAAGTTATTTAAATGATTAAATGAACTTTATTTGTTCATACTTCAGTATTTGGTAAGATCCTTTGATGAGACATGCTAAACACTGGCCAGGATTTGGGGATAATACAGTTAAAACGATGACAATAACAATGAAAACAAATACATCTCTCCTGGTGGAGCTTACACATTATCTGGGAGACAGGCAATAAACAAATAAAGACAAAAGCATGTAATTTGGAGTAGCATTAGGTGTTCTATACAAAAATGAATCAGGGCCAGGGATACAGAGTGGCAGAGAATACTGTTCTGTAATATATTGGGCACTCTAGAAAGGTCTGTTAGGAAAGCAGAGGTCTGAATTAAGTGCTGGAGTGATCCATGAAATATCTGAAAAGAGAATGGTAGGAAGAGAAAATAAAATGCTAAGACTATGGAGTGAATACATATTTTTCTTTCATATCTGAGGAACAATAGGAAATGGTTATAAGGTAGAACTCAACCACGTGCCTAACACATAGTAATTAATTAGTAAACTATTTTTAATATTATAGATAAAGAGGCTGAATTTAATCTATTAAGGGAAATGATGCTGTACATAGGTCTTCTTATAAACCCTATGTTATCAATAAAGTCGTCTTAGCTTTATATATTTTTCCTGGCTCCTATAATACCAAGTTTCCCTTCTTCATGTTCTGATTATCTTCTGCATAGTAGTGAATATAAGCTTGAGGCCTATGCTCCCAATATAATTTGTATATCACCAAGTCTAGGATGCTCCCCTATCCTTGTCTGACTGAGTTAGGATGGCCTTCAGTGTGCTACCAGATGAACTGGCACGCCCTTATCATACTACTTAACATACTATAGTGTAAGGTATTATGTATCTCACACTATTTATTCTCTTTTCTTTTTATTTGTCTTTATTGCTCATAAGCCATATGCTTCTTGAAGGCTTGTATTTCCTCTGAATTTCCAACGCTGCACACCCAACATTTTGCACATGGTAAGCATGCAATATATATTTGCTGAGAAAGTGGAGAAAGAGTCAGGTGGGGTTTAAGAAACTGGGGAGAAAACTTTGGTGTAATGTCTTTAAAAATAGAGAGATTCACACTCCAGTAGGTGAGAAATTAACATCTATTGATTTGTGAGGAAAAGCTTAGCAAGGGAGTGGGCAGGGTTAGCATGGTCTGCAGCTCCCCATCTTTAGACTGTGTGTGTGTGAACGTGAATGCATGTTTATGTGCATGTGTATGCACTAACCAGGTGGATTTTCTCTTTGAATAGGCCTAACTTTCCATTTGCACTGATTGTATAGATTAAAACTATTGCAACTTTATTTTAAAATGTGATATCTACTCTTAATTTTAAGAGGTATTAATTTATTTTTATGTTTCTAATCTATAATTTCTGGCAAATGATACTGGTTTTTCATGTATAGTAATGGCATGTTTCCATCTTTAATAAATGTGTTTATGAAAATAGGTGAGATATTTTAATATAAAAAATAAACATAGAGATGGTGTGTGGAAATGCCTAATATTTTAAAGGTGGTAAGAAAGTGAATGAAGTTTGGGAAATAACGCCTGGAGTATTTTTTAGAAAACAAAACTATAGTATTTTCATTTGTTAGAATTTTCTCTAGTTTGTAAATATCTTCTATGGGAACAAGCTATCTCAAATTTTTTTCTAATTGTTATTAGATCCTAGGAAGGAGGAGAATTAACAGTAAAGAACATAATTGTCTATTTCTTTTGTTAAAAGGCCTTTATATCCTATGGATTTCTATTACTGCCAATAAAAAACAAAACAAAACATTGTTACTTTAGAAAACAGGAGGGAGGGGGAGAAATAGAGATTGATCTAGTTGTGTTTAGTAGGGGAAGAGGAGCTAGTCCTAATTCCATGCTCTTGATTTAATTTGGCCCAGCTTTGCACCTGTGATTTGTGCAATTCTCTCTTACAAATACTGAATTTTATTTTATTTATTTTATTTTTTTTGCCTTTTTTACTTTTTTTTTTTTTTTTTTAGATTAGAGACGGGGTCTGACTGTGCTCAGGCAGTGTTCCGGCTGGTGTTGAACCCCTGAAGCAACAGCTATCCGCCCGTCTCGGCCTCCCAGAAAGCTAGGACTACAGGCGTGAGCCACCGTGCCCGGCCTAAATACTGAATTTTAGAGAAACTCTCATCTTAATGAATAAATTAATAAAAAGCCACCAGAATCTGAACTCAGACTAGAGAAACTGAAATAGTTTTCTTCACTTGTCGGTCTGAACTACTCAGAGAAAGAGAAAATAATTTATTGTTTGATTACTTTTGGAATGGCTCATATCAGCCAATTCTTTTTTTGGGGAGGGGAGCAGTCTCACTCTTGCCCAGGCTAGAGTGCCATGAGTGTGACATCAGCCCAATTCACAGCAACTTCAAATTCCTAGGCTCAAGCGATCCTCCTGCCTCAGCTTCCCAAGTAGCTGGGACTACAGGTGTGTACCATGGCACTCAGCTAATTTTTCTATCACTAGTAGAGACAGGGTCTCACTCTTACTTAGGCTGGTCTTAAACTCCTCAGCTCAAGCGATTCTCCTGCCTAGGTCTCCCAGAGTGCTAGGATTGCAGGCATGAGCCACCATGCCCAGCCATCAGCCAATTCTTATTTCTGATTTTAATTAAAAGCTACATCCTTAGTTAATTCACCAAGTAAAATTTTCATTTGGCCTTAGGGATGCCTGCTCTATGCTATCATCAGGTGTCTTTCTTAGATGAAAAACTCCCTGAATTATTGTCATAGCACCATCCAATAAGACAGGCAATTCAGATGACAGAGAAGACATCCCTATTCCCTGGCAGAAGGTAGGGGAAGGGGAGCTAGTTCTAATTCCATGCTCTTGATTTAATTTGGAATACCTATATAACATACCTAGATTATTGCTTTCTTAATATATGCAAAATATACAGCAATGTTTTTAGAGCACAATTATTTTTATTTGGGTGATTTTATATCCTCTTCATTTAGTTAAGATTCTGAAGACATGATATGTTTTAGAAATTATCATGATAATTACTAAGATAATTAAAATGAGTTATTTACATTATTCAGTTGTATCTACCATACTCTTCTAAGACCGATTTATTATTCTTTGGCATCTAATTACGCAATTAAAAAGGAAGAGGAGCTTCCAGTCAATTAAGCAAACAAGCTCAGTGTGTAATTTTTTTATGGCATCTTTTCCTGACTGTGATTACAAAATCACAATGCAAGGAAGTTGAAATCTAATCACCATAAATAAAAAATTGTCGGAGGTCAGAGAAGAAGGCTCATATCTGGTTAGATTTTTTTTTGTTAAAAAGAAGAAAAGATTTGTTCGGTTTTAGCATATGATTGCATATATGTTTTTAATACTCACTGTTTTTTTTGATAGTCTATAAATCAGAGATTGATAATTAATATGGCTGGGCCAGTGGCCAGTTTAAAACTCAGGTGTAACTAAATATTGGCACAACTTGCCTAAGTGCAGATCACAAATATTGAAAACCTAGCAAACAGTGATTTTGTTAGGTGCTGCCTCTCCCCTGAAATGAAATGCCTTAGAGATTATAAATATGGGTCAAACAATATGGTAGTAGCAAAGGTTAAGGGTCAATGCAATCATAAATTTATATAAATTAATTTTTGTGCTACCCTATACTGTTTTGTATGTTATTGTCAGAGCCTGGTAAATATCTAGTTCTATTACATGTCCAGCTGGTTTATGTGAAACCCATCCAATTTCTATGACAGTTGGTGTTCCTTGATCAATCTCAGTTTCCACATTTGTTTTGGATGCTCTGCAAAGGCCGCATACATGTTTGTTTGTCTCAGACAAGTTTTTACTGAGTAGGATGCCAGGATGAGCAGAGTGTTTAGATGCTGGCCAGGATTTTTGGCTTGCAATTATGGCACTACATCAGTACTTCTCAGTAGGGCTCATTTTCATCAAGATTCACCCTTGCAGTACTATGTTAATTCTTCTATCAATCAATGATTAACAGCGTATTTCTTGTTTTTACCCTAAGTAACATATTTTTTCCTCTTGATTAAATGAATAGCAGCCAAAGGGATAAACACTATAATTATTTGCAAAAAAGGTGTTCTATATATCCAAACTGTTTTGTCAGGTGTATAATAGTATATGAATGTGTCATCAAGCAAGTGTTCCTTTAATAGACACATAAAATGAGGGTTGTGGCAGTAGCTCAATTTGCTATATCCAAAAACTACACATGGTTTTATCCATGTTGTCTTAGAGTGGTATTTTGTGTGGTTTATAGAAGATTTTTTAACAAGATTACTCCCTTATCTTATGTCTCTTTCAGATATTTCTAAAAGCAGCTATAGTTAAAATCATGCACATTTTTAGGGACTAGCTTGTAAAGGTTGCTACTGGATTGGCTTAAGAAATAATATTCTCATTTTAAAACTATCATAAAATAAAACTAGGTGGTCTTATGAATATACTTCCACCTTCTTTCTACAGGACTACAGTTCTTTGCCATATACATTTTAAGCAGCAGATTAATTCAATTAATACATATACTATTTTGAATTATGTAGATAAAACTCATGCTTAAAGGCATAACAGTATTATGGCTTCTATTGAAAACCTAAACAAATCCAAATGCTCATGATGAATTCATAATGGGACATCATAATGGAGTCAACAGTTACATCTTTGCCCTTACTATTCTGGTTTGCACTGAAGTTTTTTCTAAGTAGAAATTCTCCAGCTAAAAGGAACTTATGAAATGATCTATTCTACAACACCAGCTTTACAGAGAATACTGCAATCCAGATAGATTATGCAAATTTTTCAAGGTTATCCAGTAGGTCAGGAGTAGACTTAGAACCAAAGCACTAGCTCTACTTAGTAGGTCCATGGGCTGTGGAGTCAGCCAGTCCAGGATTTGACTTCTGATTTTGACAAAATGGCCTACAATTACTTCATTTCTTCATTCACAAAATAGGGATAAATGCCTTACAATTTAGGGCACTGTGCAGATTGATTTAATGAGGTGGATCAGTAAATGCCCAGTACATTGTCTAGAACACCCAGCAAGCCTGACTTCCTTTTATCTTCAAGGCACTTAGCCAGATAATGCTGAGAAACAAATGTTCCCTCCGCTTTTTGTTAACATCCCATGGTTACTTCTTTGTCAGGTAAGATTTTGAGATGTATTTGTAGGTTTCTATAAGCACCAGAACTTTAAGAATTTGATCTTTATAAAGCAATTATAAATCATATTTGTACCATTTGTTCTAACTTGGATTTATCTTTTCCAAATTCTAAAATACAATCTTCAAAAATTGAAGCTTCTGAAGCTTAATTTTGGATTTGGCATTGAAGTTGAAATTATCTGAGATTATAACATACTCCTCATGTTGTAGCTCAAAAGTCCTGTCCAGTGTTTTTCATTCCTTGGCTATGAATTACATAAAGGTACCGGGATCACCAAGATAAACTGAGGTTTTCTAAGTGCCATGGTGGTAGTTTTTAAGTAAATAGATTTTTCAGATCAGTCAAAACTAATGGGTGAGGGTTGTAGCAAAGTCTTGATGGATAAATGCCTTAGATTCCAGGAAAAGGAAAGCTTTATTAAATAATAGCCAAGCTGTAAGGAATACTTCCTACGTGCCAGGAACTCTACTAGAGAAAACTGAGTCTTCGGGGAATTCAGTTATGTGACTAACATCCTACACCAAGCATGAGGCTAAGCTGAGGTTTAAAAAAAATTAACATCTGACTCACAAACCAATGTTCATTTCTCTTTACCAGTAAAGTTTTCAAATCAACCCTCCTTGTGGCTCCTTTGCCAACTATAAGTTATAAATTTAACCTGAAATGCTCAGAACCAAGAAGTTATACAGTTTAGGTTAAAATGGCAATATTGATTTCGGTGGCTTGCTTGCAATCTGTGGCATTCTCCTGTTTGTGGCTGCATCTCGCCATCTCTGCCTTCATATTTACATGGTGTTTTCTCTGTATCTTCTCATGTTGTCTTCCCTCCGTGCATGTCCGTGTCTCTTCACATAACACTCATTTTAATAAGGACACCAGTTAGATTAGGGGCCCACTTTCCTCGAGTGTGGCTGGTCTTAACTAATTCTATCTACGATAACTGTATTCCCGAATAAAGTCACATTCTGGGAGCCAGGGGGTTAAAACTTCAACATACCCTCTTCAGGGGACAATTCAATCTATAACAAGGTCTAAAAAGCAAAAGTAAAATGGTGTGGCAAAGTTACTTAATGAATTTAGGTTAGGGTAAAAGAAAACACTGATCATTTGGAATAAAACAAACAGCATTCTTGTCTACATAATTGGGACTACAAGAGTCTGGATGATCAATTTGGGCAATGCAGGTCAAGAAAAAGAAAGAGAGAAAACAAAGGGAAATTGAGTAAAGGAAGGGGAAGGAGGCAAGAAAGAAGAGAGGGGCAGGAGAAAGATCACATAAAGCAGCTCTCTCATTTGCAGACTGTCTCAAATTCTCCTTGTTCTCATCGTAGATCTAAACCGAGCTAGACTACAGAGCTCTAATCTATTGAACTATCTTCCCAATTATAGCTAGTTTATGAGTTTAATAATTACTCACATCTTATGTCCACTCACTGAAGAGAAATGCGTCTTTAGAGTCCTTTTAAAATTGGATGCTTCTGCCGTTTTAAGCCTACAGGAGCCTTTAATTTGGACCATTTGTTTTTTAGTAAAGAGAATTGGTTTTGTGTTCCTGAGTAGAACCCGTAGCTGGAAGTAACAATGTGCACATCTTGATGTGAATTAGCTCAGTAGGACATTATAGGGCACATGATAGCTGGGTGCGGGGATGTTATTGTTTTTACAACCTTGGAAATTAGAGATGAAAAATCCCTATTCAGTCATCCAGTACAACTTTCTGCCAAAGCCAAATTAATTTGAGCTCTTTTCTTTCCAGGACTTTGTATAGTTCATGTTTTAAAGCATCAAGGTCATACAATCTCTGAGAGATCTGGCCTATCAATATACTTTATGGTGATGTAGTTAAAGGACAGGTTCATTACAGTTCATCAAGGACCAATGTGCCAATGTAAGTGAGTGAGAATAATATAAATTAATCACATTTGGCACTGTATTTTATATTGAATTTTGTTTACTAAGATTTCAAAAAATATATAGTGCCCCAGTTAGTTCTTTCTACATTCTGTGAGATAGGCAAAGCAGTTGTTTTTATGTCCCTTTAACAGAAAAATGAATTGAGGACCATACGTGGTGGAGACAAGACTAAAACCCACATGATCATTTATTTCCTCATTTATTGCTTTTACCATTTACCTCGCTGATTCAGCATTGTTAGAAGAATCCCCAGTTTCTCAGTTTCATTACTGAATACCAAATAGTTGCTTGAAGTATAAATTACATAAAAATTATATTAAAGAAACTAATTAAACAAAGTCATGGAATGTGGGAGGAAGAGGGATCTGTTTATGATGATGAAAAGACAAAACCATGACAGTCATTCTAAAATGGAAGGGCTACTCAGCATATTTGAAGGGCGTATCTGGAAGGGCTGCTCAAGTGTATTTACTAGGGCTGAAAGACATACGTTCCAGGGAGAAGTCTATGGAGGTACAGTGAAAGATTATAAGCATTGTCCATCACTGAGATTCCAGCCACAAGCTGGAATCTGCTTTATTTCTTGCTGCCTTCAGTAGATTATCACATGTAAAAAAAAAATCAAATGTTTTTAAACTCCATGTCAAGTGATAAATGACACATAGCTCTTATTTTCTTTGTGAGGAGTAGAATGGTGTTCTGGATCAACTACATCTGTTCCTGTGAAGGGAGGAGGCGATGTTCAATCATATGTATCACTTAATTTCCAAAACAATAAAGAATCTCAAAGCTCATCCATGCATCCATGCATGTATTTATTTGCTTATGTATTCACATGGCAAATATTTATTCAATGCCTACCATGCATCAGGTCCTAGGACAGATGTTTACATCTCAAATATTTTAAAAGTTAACAAGGAGAGATAATAAAGTAAGTGGTCTGTTGAGTCTTCTAAATTCATTTAATGCAAATGTACCTGCCTCTATGAACAGAAGTGCATCTACACACCAACCCGCTGACATTCACAATAGAGATGTGAGCTAGATAGACTATGAACCCATTTTAGAAATAATAAGTACCCCAAAATGACACTTAGAAGATAAACTATAGCCAGTGGTTCTAAGAATTTGGGGATTCACCATAAGGAAAGAAAAAAAAATGAAAAGACCAATGTAAAGTTGCTGGCCATTTATGTTGCCATGGAAAGATACATCTCAAAATTATGATTTACTCACTCTCACTTCTTTCACAAAAGGACATGAAAACAACTTCTACCAAAAAGGAGGGACAAGATCTCAGAATAAAATTAGGCATTTATTTTTTTCACATTTATTTATTTTTAAATTGACATATAAAATCGTATATATTTATTATGTACAACATGATGTTTTGTAGTATACACATATTGTGGAATGATTAAATCTAGTTAATTGACAAATGTATTACCTGAAATAGTTACCATTTTTGTGGTAGAACACCTAACATCCACTCTCTTAGCATTTTCCGAAAATAAAATATATCACCATTACATAGTCTCCATGCTGTAAAGTAGATCTCTTGAAATTATTCTTCCTACCTACTTGTGAATATGTATTCTTTGATAAACATATCCCCTGCTCCCAGTCACCCCAGCCTCTGATAGCTACCACTCTACTCTCTGGTTCTGTAAGATCAACTTGTTTAGATTCACATATGAGTGAGATTATGTGATATTTGTCTTTATGCACCTGACTTAATGTTCTCCAGATTTACCCATGCTGTCACAAATGGCAGGCATTTCTTCTTTTTTATGGCCAAATAGTGTTCCACTGTGTGTATATGCCACATTTTCTCTATCCACTCATCCATTGATGGATACTTAAATTGCTTTCATATCTTGGCTATTGTGAATAATGCTGCAATAAACATGGAAGTGCAGATATCTCTGTGACTTACTGATTTCATTTCCTTTGGATATACCCAGTAGTGGGATTGCTGGGTCCTATGGTAGCTTTATTTTTAATTTTCTGGGGAACCTTCATACTGTTTTCCATAAAGGCTATACTAATTTACATTCTCACCTACTGTTTGTAAGGGTTTTCTTTTCTCCATATCCTCACCAATACTTGTTATCTTTTGTCTTTTTGATAACAGCCTTTATAATAGGAATAAGGTAATATCTCATTGTGGTTTTGATTTTGACTTACATTTCCTTGATGATTAGTGATGTTGAATATTTTTTTCATATACCTCTTGGTCATTTGCATGTCTTCTTTCAAGAAATGTCTAATCATGTCCTTTGCCCATTTTTAAATTGGGTTATTTGTTTCCTTGCTCTTGAGTTGTTTGAGTTTTAGATATTAACTCCTTGTCAGATGTATGGTATTTAAATATTTTCTCTCATTCTGTAGATTTTTAAAGCCAGCCATTTAAATTGAATGTGTAGCTGTATGAAAAACATACTTCATTTTTTTTTTTTGGTTTTTTTTTCCTTACCTTTGTGAACACTTTTCTTATTTTACTTTGTAAAGACTCCTTAGGCATTGGTACCAGTCTATAAACCACAATCTGGGAAACACTGGCAGAGAAGGCAGGAGATACAGCTTTGTGACCAGGAAAAAGAGCCACACCTGAATTTAGTCCCTAGCACTTATTAATGTTAGACCTTGGTCAAGTGGCTTTCATATTGATCAGCTGTAAAATGGGAATTTTAAAGGAATTTGTAAAGATTAAAATATATACCTCATATTAAAAATTACACAGTGCCCTTATAGGTGACACCAAGCTGACAGTTACTGTTGTGGCAGCATACCTAAAGTAGTGCTAGATGACTCATGCTTTGGATCCTATGCCCTCTCCATCAAGAACTGTGAGGGATCTGAAAGTTCCCTCACTCTTCCAAGCTAACAAATTAGTCTGCCACATTTTCACAGATGTTGGCAGAGACATGAACTCTTGGATCAGACACAAAGGACAGTTAAGTACTCATAGCAAGAGCAGTAGACAGTGTAAATAGCATTTGTGCCATTTCCTTATGACCCAATTCCCACACATTGGTGCTACGAGGGCCAGGAGACTCATGAAAAA